GAACACATATACAATTGATTTTGTTTGGGGTAAAAACATAAAAGAGACTGGCTGTCTGCTCTTGCTTAGCCTAAAGTGTTTTTAGAACGGAAACCAGAGATTATAATGTTAATGAAGGAAGAAGACAATGAACAGAACCCAATGCCCAGGGACAGGCCTTTGAGCTTCCAGCTGCAACCCCGACTAGCTCTCTGGATTCCTTTATGAGAGTGTCTCTGCATATCTGTAGGCTGCAGGCAGGAACTCGATCATCAAAGAAATTTTTCCCAGAGCCATTCTCCTGGAGGAGCACGTGAAGCGAATTGCAATGTCTGAGCATGGGGTGCTTATCTCTTCAGGACTGGAGGACTGTTCTATATAACTGAGGGGGCAGCTGGCTACAGACTGCTGACCCTGCCCCAGTACCACTCACCACTCGTGGCTGCTCCTAGGAGAACCAGAGCCACCAGGCTTGCTGAGCTGTGCATCATGAACCCGTTGTGTCCTAAATGCTGAACCAAGCAGGGCCCTGGGGGTGCTTTTATGAGAGCGGAGGGGGTGGGTGGCTCCCATAGGCCTTGGGGATGGGGTGGGGTCCATGATCAGGCCCTGTTTGCCTGGTGGGCAGTGGCCCAGCTGGGGAAAGGGGAACCTGCCTAGTTTCCATCCTCCTTGGGGATGGATTATCTTCTCCCAGACTTTCACCAGAGGATGGGCCACTGGGGGTCCCTTCTGCCTCCATGAGTCTCATCCTATGCTGACCCTGGTAGGGGGCAGCCCCTCAAGTTGGACCCACTTCAACCTTCTACCCAGTCTCTTACTCCACCCAGAATGTCCTTCCAGTCCCAAGTTTCACAATAGCAGCAGGAGGCCACAGTGTGTAAACAACCACTTCCTCATCTTTCTACTCCCTCCCTCCCTTTCTTCTTCCTCCAACTAGGAGAGAAGGTTGAGTGGGGGTGTGATTGATTAAGGTCACCCAATTCCCTGTCTCTGTCCCTGCAGCCTCTGGGACCTGATACCCCAATAAGCAGAATGTTGGAAAGATGGTGTGTAGGGGTAATTGGAAAGACTGTTGGATACAAGTGACAGAAAAAAGCATGTCAAACTGGGTGGAGCTGGAAAGTTCAAGAATATCTGCCTTCAGGAGCGGCTTGATATCAGGTGTCTGGCTCTGATTTCTCCTTTCCTCTTTTTTTTTTTTTTTTTTTTGAAGACAGAGTCTCACTTTGTCACCCTGGGTAGAGTGCTATAGTGTCACAGCTCATAGCAAACTCCAGCTCTTGGGCTTAGGTGATTCTCTTGCCTCAGCCACTCAAGCAGCTAGGACTACAGGCACCAGCCATAATGCCTGGCTATTTTTTGTTGCAGTTTGGCCAGGGCCAGGTTTGAACTCACCACCCTCAGTATATGGGGCCAGCGCCTTACTCACTGAGCCACAGGCACCAACTTTTTTTTTTTTTTTTGAGAGAGAGTGCCTCAAGCTGTCACCCTGGTTAGAGTGCCGTGGCATCACAGCTCACAGCAACCTTCAACTCCTGGGCTCAAGCAATTCTCCTGCCTCTGCCTCCCAAGTAGCTGGGACCACAACACCCAGCTATTTTTTGGTTGCAGCCATCATTGTTGTTTGGCAGGCCCAGGCTGGATTTGAACCCACCACCTTAGGTGTATGTGGCTGGCGCCTTAGCCACTTGAGCCACATGCACCGAGCCTAACACCCAGCTATTTTTTGGTTGTAGCTGTCATTGTTTGGCAGGCCCGGGCTAGATTCAAACCCACCAGCTCAGGTGTACGTAGTTGGTACCTTAGCTGCTTGAGCCACAGGTGCTGAGCCTCTCCTTTCCTCCTTGATGGCTTCTCTCCTCACCAGTTCCAGGGACCCCAGCCTCACCTTGGTGGTTCAATGGGCCCTTCCTAAAACTCCTCATCACGCCAGCCAGTCTCCAGATTGCCAGTGATTGGCTGACTTGGATCACATGCTCACCCTCAAACTAATCACTGTTGGCAGGTTCTGACTAACAGAATCTGGGCCACATGGCTCTCTGTGAAGTGAGGATGGTTGGTCCACATCTCATGAATCCATGGGCTGGATGCACTGAGACCAGAAGGGTGGGATGCCATCTTTGAAGGACCTTAGATATCTCTGGAAGGGACAGTGCACAATATTTCCCTTTCTGCTTCTTTCATCTTCACTGTATACTATTTCATACCTGCAGAAAAGAA